ACAAGGACTCCATCCACCCCAAGTGGACTTCTGACTTACACGTGTGTGTTATGCTGTAGTACACACGTGTAAACACACAGAGACACGCACAAAACACAACACACTAAATAAATATAATTAAAAATAGAATAAGTATAAAATTTAGTACCCTGGTGTTGGCTCATACTTTACTGACAATAGGCTTTCTCTATATATAAAAAAAGAAATATTAAACACTAAAGTAAAGAATTGAAGACAAAAATGACTATAGGCTGGCTTAGTTACATCTCTGTCCCTAGGAAGAGTCACTGTGACCAGGGAACTTGTAGAAGAAGAGGTTTATTTGAGGCTTACAGTTCTATAGGATTAGAATCCATTATCATCTTGGCAAAAACACAGCAGCAGGCAAGACACTAGAGCAATAGGTGAAACTTAAATCTTTACTGAAGCAGGAGGCAGAGCGAGACACTGGGAATGGTGCAGGCTTTTAAAACCTCAAAGCCCACCCCAGTGACACACCTCCTCCAGCAAAGCCACACCTCCTAATCCTTCCCAAACAGTTCCACCAACTGGGGACCACATATTCAAATACATGAGTCTATTGGAGATATTCTCATTGAAACCACCACAGAAACCAAGTCCACTCCTGTGTCTCAAGACCTCAAGGTTGGCCTGAGAAAATATTTCTCAATCTGCTCTGAACCTTTAAGACTCCAAGGCTTGATCCTTTTTGTTGCTGTTTTGGCAGGGGGTTTGTTGTTGGTTAGATGGTTATCTGGTCTCCATTCTGAAATCTATGGGCCAAAGCCAGAGATTAATGCAAAAGCCAGAGAACTCACAGGACAAACAGGCAAAGAAAATGAGGTGTATGACACAGTGGAGTTGTCAGCTCTAAAAAGGAGGAAGTCTTAGACCTGCAGCTCACATAAGAGACCTCTGATCGCCACACACCAACCACGGCAATACACCACACACATAGACATAAACAGTAATAAATAAATTGGGAGAAGTGATTCAGGTATTAAATATGCCACCTCACAATATAAACACATATAATGTACATATATTAAATACCATGTTGGACCTCACAAACATATCTTATTTATCAATTAAAAATAAAATTGAAAATTGAGTGTCAATATCTTTGGGACAACATAATAGAAACAATGTAAACTCTGAGTTTCATTTTGTTGTTTTTCATTTGCTTATTTGATTTGGGGAGGGTTGAGGGGATTTTTGTTTTTAAATGGTGTTACATAGTCAAGGCAGACTTAGCCTTGAGCTTCTCACATAGCTGAAGATGAACACCTCACTCTTCTGCCTCTGCCTCCCAAGAGCACGGAACTTTGACCACCACTTCTCCACCCCTCTCCCATAGGGCTGTACATTAACTTAGGAATTTATTTCTCAACACATCTGCACTTAACCCTCCCACATTGGTCTTCTCATTTGTAACAGGAGTTAAAATATTGGCCATAGAGCCAGTGCCAATAACAACAGCAGTGAGCAATGCTGAATGCCAAGGTCATGAGTTTTCTGTAAGGATTGAATGAACAAATCTATGTCACCTGCCAAGGAAGGCATCAGGCTGCAGCTTGGGGAGGTGAGGTGTTGTGTGCTTGTGTGGGAGGGGGTGGTCTCTAGCAGAAGATGCTAGAAGTTATCTGTGGAAGAACATTTGAGCTCTAGCTGGACCAAGAATTGAATCATCTTTCTAAATTACTTGCTCATCTGAGCCCCAACATTCTCACTCTAGAAATGAGACTGAAATCTGCCCTCCGGAGACTGCTGGGAGGTTCAGATGAAATGGGAGCAGAGAAAGCATCTTCAAACGGCAGCTACGATAGGATAGCATCATTGGCTTAGACACTCTCCACGCTGACAGCTCAGTCTGCTCCAAACCTAGCACTGCCCATCCAGCACCTCAGCTTGCTGTCTGTCACCAGGACACGGGACTTCAAAGCTTTCCCAGCAGGAAAGCAATGTAGATGAAAACCATCTCAACGTTCCTGTGGACAGCACCTGGAATCCCAGGTGTATCCAGATGGAATGAGAAGAAGCGTGTTTAATGGATAAAACGTGTGTGTGGCTGTGGGCGAGTTTCCAAGAGGACACACCTGGACACCACATCAAGACAGGAATGAGAAGCCAGCATCACCTCTGCATCACCTCTTGCCCCAGTGCTACGGCAGGGGAGTTTCTGCAGAGCTCACCTCGGCAGACCTGCTGACCGGGCACACCAGTCAGCAAATGCAGCCAAGGCTGTGTCCTCCCACCAAGCCGACTTCCCTGAATTTTTTCTGCATGCTTTTTTCTCATTACCAAGACTGTGGAAACACACCCCTGATGAACACTGGCAAACTTCAGATGCAGCAGCTACGACTCTTTAGAGATGTGTAGTATGTCTTTAAAGTGAAAACAGACTTGAGCCTGCACTGGCAAGCATTCATTTCCAAGCTTTCTGCTTTCTCCGTGTGAGATAGATTACATGATCTCCAAAAAGGGGCCAGTCAACAGCCTACGGTGGTTTCCAATCAAAAGGCATTCTGGTTCTTACACGGTGCATCTTTCAAGAACGGCACCCTCCCGCCCACACTGCCACGTAATACCAAGGAAGAAAGGCTGGGAGGAAAAAGATGAATGAGTTCTGTCAAAGCAGTTGGTAACCTGGTCACGGCTGCCTACAGCTGCCTACTTCACCCTCCTCTTCCCCAACACAAGTTAAGGGAAAAAGATTTCCACAGAAGGGCCCGCCAAGCCAGGGGTCAACACACAAAACCCCACTGTGCCTCATGTGCTTGCCCCTCCCCGTGGTAAATACACACAAGACATCCTTCCGCTCCCCATCCCGGTCCTGACAAAAGGCTACAAGGCTCTCTGTATGACATGAAAATCAACAGAAAGCAACCTAGGTCACGACATCTGTTCTGGTGGCACGCCCCTACCTTCTAACCAATTGCCACACTGGTGGCTACTCACCTGGTATTTAATCAAGCCAAGAGTTTCATTCATTCCACACACGGGCTCCCCTCCTGGGGACCCCAATAGGGCAGCAATGGCCTGCATTCAACAGTTAAATACCTAGGCTCAAGTGCCAGGTCGTCTAAGTGAATCTCGGTTTCTTATTTGTAAGATGATTGTAGCATGAATAATAAAAACCCATAAACAGATATCGAGGTTCAACCTGAAGATCAGAAAAGCAAAGCAACCAGCCAGTGTGGGGTATGGAGTCTTCAGAATTCATGGAGACTGAGTCTCGCCCATTTTTGGTCTGAGGCAGAGGTAAGAATCAGTGGTTGGCTGCTTTGCTTCTCTGATCTTCAGACTGAACCCCAATATCTGTCTCTGGGTTTTTATTATTCATGCTACAATGATCATGGAGTGGGTGGTCTTCATAGCGCGCACACACGCATGTGCACACACACTGCACACACACATGGTGCGCGCGCCTGTAGTCCTCCTACCTGGAGACTGTCTGTACCCTCGGCATAGAGGTGTATACCTTGAATCCTGCCACTCAGGAGGCAGAGGCAAGTGGATCTCTGTGTGTTTCAGGCAAGCCTGTGCTACATAGAGAGACCCTGCCTCAAAAAAATAAGAAAAAGAGAAAGGAAGGAAGGAAGGAAGGGAGGGAGGGAGGGAGGGAGGGAGGGAGGGAGGGAGGGAGGAAGGAGAGGGAGGGAGAGAAGAAAGAAAGAAAGAAAGAAAGAAAGAAAGAAAGAAAGAAAGAAAGAGAAAGAGCCCACGCTGAATGCCTTCACTGATGACACCAAACGAAAGTGCTGACAGAGAGTCGCCCTAACAGAACAAGGATGGGCAGTTCAAGCTCACACACTGACAATTTTAAAGCAGAAACCCAAACTAACAACTTTCTTTCAAAATGTTTGCTGTGGTGGGGGGTGGCATTCTGATCCCCAGTCTTCCACATCAGTTTCTGCCAACTGGCCTCCCCGCAGTCTGTCTGCTAACAGCCCCCGCTGTCTGCGAAGCCTCTGTGGTCAGATGCTATCTTCCATCCACCACGCGAGATGTGAAGTGTAAAATCTGGATCCTCCATCCCCCAGTTGCCCAACTCCGTGTAAAGGAACTGTGTGTCTCCGTCTCTCGCTCTGTCTCCTACATAATGTCACAAATAATTACACCTCTTCGGAGGCTTGATTGCATGAGCTTATTAAATTAATTTTTACTCGTTTTATATGCTATAATCATTTCGCCCAGAGGCTGGCTGTAGTACCTATTTAAGTCGGCATTGTTCTTGTTGAGAACTGACAGTTTCCAGACTTGAGCCAATGAATTGCTTTTGTACGGCTCATTGCGGAACACACACAGAGCAAATGACGACAAAATAGAGCAAATTAATCTTCCAAATTAGTCACATGGCCTTGATGTGAAACGCTAAGATGCTGGTAGGCGGGATGAGAGTCCTCACATGGTCACCTGCTCCCCAAATGCCACCTTCCGCTCCGATGTCTCTGGGAAACACAAAGCGCCCTCCCCCTTTCTCCCTTCAGTGCAGGAGCTGGTACTGCAGACCTCACCCAGCAAGACAAGAACTCCCAGCCGCCTCTCAGACCTCTCTCGACTAATGTCTCTGAAGCAGCTGAAACTAAACACCCTTCCCCAAATCTCATGATGAGAGTGCCACCTCTGTCCAGAAGACCTACTTGTTTTACAAGAAAATCCTTTGAAAAGAACAAAAAGAATCATAAAATTCTTATTTCGCTATTATCTACACAGGTACCAGAATCAAGCAGGCTCTTTGCAGTCTGCCAGCCTCAACAGAGGTAGCTGGGCTTCCGTGTTGTGACGTTAGAATGTCTGGTCCCAGTCTCGTAAACTACAACATGGGCAAATACATTATGGACCTGAGTGGTAGTCAAGTATTTTATTTGCCTAAAGAACTAAATATTTGTGTTTGACAGAGAGATAACATGGCCTAAATATTTCTCATCAGAGACTGAGGAGGGGAAGAAAACAGGCACTCGAGCCGATAAGAAGATGAAATTCAAAACGAGCATTACCAGCCAGACAGGAGCTCATCAGGGCGAACATGGTGGTAATCACGTGGCGGGGGGTCACTGCCATTTCTCCAACGGGGGTCCCCTCCAGTCACGGCAGCCTTTGGTCTTTCAGGTCGAAGGCGAGCTTGGCAAGTCAGAAGTGGCCTTAAAATCCCTCTCTGCAACTGTCAAATTGTCTATAAAAATAAACAAATTTCAGTAAGAAAACACGGTGTTGAAATTTCACCAACAAGCACACATTAAATGTTAAAAGTTAAATGGAGAATTTCTGAAAAGAAACAATTTGTCAAGAAACATACCAGGACAGCACTCGGGCAAATTAGGGCGGGGACAGGGATTATTTAACACAGACGTCATAGAAAATAGTTTTGAAAGTGACATGTTTATACTTGACATTCTAAATATCTGGGGAGTTGGAAGGGATTGTCTGAGACAGGGTCTGTGTTTCCCAGACTAGCCCAGCACTCTGGGGTTCAAAAGTCCCTCCTGTTTCGACCTCCCTGAATAGCTAGTATCACAGGCAGATCTGTGGTCCTGTGTAGAATTTTCAGGACCATTGCAGACACTTCAGGTCACCTGTCCTATCCGCAGCAGGCAATGACATGGAACACTCAGCTCAGAGTGCCAACAGTAACACTGGACATGTAGCTTAGAGTGCCAGCAAGCAGAAATAGTTCCTAGAAACCGAGCCGCGTGCCAAAGTGACAGAGTTATCACCAAGATTGAATTCAATTACACTGAAAATTGACCTGGAAAACACACACACACACAGAACCATAAAAGAACAAAGCCCTTTCACCTTTTCGCCAACATTAAAAAGCAATAAAGTCTTCACCGCCCCTCTGTCCTGTAGAAGACTCGGTCCTGGGCCAGGAGATCTAGAAGGCTCTTTCTAACCCCGTCCTATCTAGAGCCCTGTCAGGGTTTTATTATTGCTGCTTTTGTGGTGTGTGTGCGTGCGTGTGTGTATGTGTGTGTGTGTGTTGTTCGCTTGAGACAAGGTCTCACTGTGTAAGCTAAGCAGTTCTGGAGCTCACTATGAAGAAAAGGCCGGGCCAAAAACTCACAGAGATCCACCTTCCTCTGTCTCCTGAGTTCTGGGATTAAAGGTGTGAGCCACCATGCCCAGTTGAGTTTTGTGATTTTTATATGTATGTTTTGGGGATCTGTTGTTTTGTTTGAGATAGGGTCTTGCTTTGAAATGTGTGTGTGTGTGTGTGTGTGTGAGAGAGAGAGAGAGAGACAGACAGACAGACAGACAGACAGACAGACAGAGAAGAGAGAAAGAGAGATATTGAGCAAGCAGAGGCTTAGAAAAGTGGCTCCCAGATCATATACAATCAATCATTCAATCAGTCATCAATATTAGCTATTTTGATCACTGCTCCATTCTCTTTAAGGTCTTCTCACTGATAAACTAGAAAGATCAAGGTGTGGTTATTTATGTAATTCTTAGCTACTACCAGCAAGTTTTGCCTGTTGCAAAGGGGAGAACCTACAGTAAAGAGCAGCACAGTGAGCAGTCAGAGGCGGCACGAGGCTGAGTTAGAAAACTGATTTGGACGCCACGCAATTAGCATCAACGGCCCCTTGAAGCCTTGGGTTTCCGCCACCATCTTTCCTTGGTGTATCAGAGAAATTGAAATATCTATATCTATTAACTTAAGAACTGAACAACGAGGAAAGTCTGTCCCAGTTTTTCCTCTTTGAGAAACTAGATTTCCTAAATGGGTTAATTAATAAAGAAAAGAATCTCTCTCAAAGGACACAACATTTCAACAAATACTAGCAGAAATTTTAATAAAGCAAAACCCATAAGGATCTGTAAGAAGATGGCTCACAGGGGGCGTTTTCCAGGCGAATGGCCACAGGCAGCACAGGGCTCACCCCTGCCCCCACTGCATGGGGCCCGTGGGGCTGGGCTGCATTAATCCAGGAGCCACCAGTTCTGAGGGAACCCATGGAAAGGAAGGCAAGTGATTCTATTAAAAATATGGACTGCAAATTGCTGACAAGAATATTGGGCAATTATATAATTATTATACAACTGAGCCAAGCTAAACAGATTGATGCCCAAAGCAAACCACAGCAAGTTCACGCCGGATCTCAAGACAGCACTGAGGAAGTCCAAGACAAGTTGGAACTCCACACAGCTGTGGCAAACAAAGAGGGGGCCTTCTTTGAGCTAAAGTCCCTCTTTAACAGAACTCGTCCAAGAAGAAAGCAAACTGCAGAGAGCTTTGGTCTAATCTCCCCAGGGTGGTGACAGAGGTCTAGGACACGGGAGACTAAAAAGGGAACCACATGAGCCCTACCTGGCTGATCTCCAGCCAACACTCAGAGATTCAGTCCCTCGGCAGAATTAGGGGGAAGCCAGGCCTCTGAAAGGTATAGATTTCAAATAAAATCAGAAAACACAAGCTTCCCTTTTCAGTGAGGGTCTTTCATATTCATTTGGAAAAGACCAGGGGCTGCTGACCCTCCTTGGGCTCATGAGAGATAAGGATATACATGAAAAGGCCCACGGAGGTCCTGGAACAATTTGTAGGCTACTGTAGAGTGGTCTCTCCGTTCGCTCACCACTGTAGAGTGGTCTCTCTACTTGCTCACCATTTACAGCTTCAAAGCAGAGGGACTGAGAGCAGCAAGCACCACAAATTAACAGAAGAACATGGAGAGCGAGAGTCACAGATTAAAAATAAAGAAGAATGTGCCGCTAAGTCTGTTGATTTCAGATCGTGCTGTGTTTACTTCTGAGGCCATTAATCTGAGCTGGCTGCTGCACATTCCTGGGATCCAGCAAAGCACGTGGTAAATAGAGGGATTAGCTGGGGAAAGCCTACTCAACCGAATCCTTGACAACACCTTGGTCTGAAACCCTGGTTTGAAAGGAGCAGCTTAGAAATACTGCTCTGGGCTAAAGATTGTGTCTGTGTGCGCGTGTGTGTTTGGTGTGAGTTTGTATGTGTATGATAAGTGTGTGTGCCTATGTGTGTGTCTATGTGAGCGTGTGGTGGTGTGTGTGTTAGTGTGTATCTGTGTCTTGTGTGTGTGATGTGTGAGTGTGTGTGTCTATGTGTGTGTCTGTGTGAGCGTGTGGTAGTGTGTGTGTGTTAATGTGTATCTGCGTGTGTGTGTTTGGTGTGTGAGTTTGTCTGTGTGTGATGTGTGTGTGTGTGTGAGGGTGGTGTGTGTGTACACAGGTTCACACATAGAGAGCACTCACACATGCAGCAGACACCTTTCAGAGGCCAACGCTCTTCCTCCACCAGGGTCTCAGGGACTGAACTCTGGTTGTCAGCAGCACTTTCACTGGCTGAATCATGCAGTGACCCAGATTTGAAGATCATAAGGAGACTGATTTAGCAAACAGAATTAAAACTCTCATGAGTAGGATTAGGAAGTTACTCAGTTGGGAGAATGTTCGCCTGCTACACAGACAGTACACACTCCATCAGAATGCTCACCCCCTACACAGACAGTACACACTCCATCAGGATGCTTGCCCGCTACACAGACAGTGCTACTCTCCAACCACAATAACACAAAGAGCAGGCCGGGTGGTGCATGCCTGAAATCACAACACTCCAGAGGCAGAAGGATCAGAAAGGCCAAGGTCTTCTGCTGCCAGGGGGAATGGCATTGCCTGAGCTCAAGTAGTGAGTTACTTGTGTTTCTGACGGCTTAGAAATGAAGGGATCTGGCAAAAACGACTCAACAGGTCAAAGTGCTTGCTGTACAAACCCAACAGCCCGAGTTCAATCCCTGGAACCTACAAAGACGAGAATCAAAAACTGTCTTCTAATCTTCCACTTGAGTTCACAGCACATGCATGACCGTGGTCATGTGCACACATATGCACACGCATTTTAAAACGTTTCTACTTTGCCAATTAGGGGGGCTTTTTGATCAATACAAGTTGTGTTTGACAATGTTAAATAAAGCAGACAGAACTGTCTTGTCCACCATTCAATACACCATTCAGTGACAGCAGCGTCAGCCTGTCGTGTGGCAGCCGGGGAAGTGGCAGAGACCTGGATGCACTTTGGACTGGTACACAGATGAGCGTGGCCTCGCAGTGGCCAAACTCCCATCCACACAGAGAGAAGCTGCATCACGCAGGTACCCAGAGAGGGAGGGTGGGGGAATGGATCTGGATGAGAAATCTCTGAAACCATATCTAAGCGCCATTGATACCCAGCAAATATTTACAGCCACTGTGTGCCAGGCAAACCGGTCTGATGCCAAGGGTGTGGCGGTGTAAAAAGGGCCCAAGCCTCTGGGTGGGGTTTTGTTTGGGCCAAATAAAAGCAACGTCATTTGCTTTTGGGGATAAGACATTTAATTTCTCAGCACCGTTTCTTCTGTCCACAGACCGTCATTACTCTTTGCCCTGCACCAGATAATAGAAGTATAGTGGCCAATCAATCGAGAGGTATGCTTTTTACACTTACGGATTTACAGTATGGCAAACAGGCATATAGTCACAAACATGGAATTACACAGTATGGAAAGAATTATAAAGGAAGGACTCTTAGGAGACACATATCTTAAATTATTGGGCACAGAAAGACACTGAGTGAGTACCCTTATTTCACTTTTGTTATTATGATAAAATACTTGGATTTCAGCTCACGGATCCAAGTTGCAGGCCCTGACAGTCAAAGGGTCACATGCTTGGAGACAGCCAGTCACGTCACATCCGCCAAGAGCTGAGCAGACTAAATGAACGTTTGCTTACATGGCTCAGGGGCATGGAACCATGCTGCCCAAATTCAGGGTGACTCTTCCCACCTCAATTCACCAATTATGAAAACCCTCTCTGTTCTGGGCTGAGCAGGGGCTGTGAGGGGTGGGAGTTCAGGTGACTAGGGACCAGGAGCCAGGGGCCCACAAGGCGGTGGGTGAGCCACGTGGAGGGAGAAAGAGGGAGCCTCATCAGTTCATGTTGATTGCCAACAACTGGAAAACTGTGAGCACCAAACACTGCTCCTTTCTCCACCAAGGGTCTAATCAGGCATACCTGGGTTTTTAAGGATGTAATAGGGTCCAGGCCCAAGAAAACCAAAAGTGCTATGGCCAGGTACATTGATGTTCTTAGCCCAGAGAGAGTGGACCAGGGTGGGGTGGGGGTCCCCATAGAATTCCCGTTGGCTTAGAACGTCTGGAAAAGTCA